CTCAGGCATTAAACCTGGAAGCAGGGAAGACTACTCGTCAGGCCTCATGAGGAACAATCTCCTGGGTTGGCAGCGTGCACTGCATACTCTCACTGCCTCCCACCTCCCCTCTCTCTGCACAAAGAGAACTCTACTTGATGCGGGAGCAACACACAGCTCAGGGCCAAAACAAAAGACAAAAATTGTCATTATGCTGAAAGCTCCATGCTATTTTATGGAAATTTTGGTGTCACACCTGTACCTGATTTTCATTTTTTTCCTCCTACAAGAGTGACACTTCTATTGTCTTAGGAATTTATGTTGTAAATATATATGTGTAAATGCATTCACACACACAGGATGAATGGATCTGTAAAGAATTAGAATGAGTCACCAGACTATGCTCAAGTACGCTTGCGGTTTGGAGAAGGAAGGAAAGTGTCAATTTGTTCACCTGAGAAATGTGTGGAGACAAACACACACCAGTTGGCATTTAGCTTTCATGTTCCTTGGGTAGTTGCACTTAAATCTGTACTTTCATTTGTCTCTCATTAGTAAAGTTCACTGGAATACCACTTCTCCATGTTACACTAATGACAGTTTTTCTTCCTTACAATGGAAGGCAATTTCTGTCACCTGACTTGAGGAGCTCTCTCCCTTTACCCCTAGTCATTTCATGGATATGTAATGCCTTTGCTGTTTACATGCAGTCCCAAAAAATGGATTGTTGGTGCTTCGGAATGTGTTACAGTCCCACGTTTGGTGTTCATTGTACACACTGCGTATCTGTAAAGGTTCTTTCATAGTATCTTCCTCACATATCATCTATACTATGGTGGTGAAGATAATCTTGTATATCTCTTGACTCTCAAATAGAGTCTCAGATAGACTCAAGAGGTATGTTCTTGTGTTAAAGATAAAAAGCTAAAAGCCCTCCTACCAGTGTGGAATGAAGTGTGTGGGCTGTACGATAAAGCTGGAGGTTGAGTTTGACCCTGTTTGCTGTCTGGCTTTGTCCTTGAAACAGTGTGGAAATGAAATGTGATTGGGTTAGGTAATCCCAAGAACTAACAAAGGTGCATAATATTTATCTTACTTTTTAGGTGCTTTGGGTTGAGGCTACATGAGGTACACCATAAAGTATTTCATGAGTCCTCAGCTGACAGACTGGCTTAGGTAAGCAGTTGTAGACCCACATAAAGAATGAGTTTGAGGGTAGACTTCTGATCACAAAATAATTTTGTGAGCCTAGGTATCGGTCGAGTCTCAGAGTTAAAAATAGCAAAATAGAGCCTTAGAGCCTTGCTTTTTTTTTTTTTTTTTGGTTTGGTTTTGCTTTTCTTTTCTTATAAATGAAGATTATTCTTCAGTTCCAAAGTAGGAACAAAACCACATCAGTTTTTCTAGGATGAGAAAATATTTTTCAAATTCTTGGCACAGAGGTTGCTTCTTTGTGACAGATTTCCTCCGGAGAGGTCGGGCGCTGCTACAGAACTAGGATGTGTCCTGACAGAACGTGTTCTGTAGCACCTTTGAATTGGACATCGCCTCAGCATTTTTGCTTAACTCCTGATAAATGCTCACTGTCCTTCCATCTAACACATGATACTCTAGTGTACGTTCACAGCCGGTACGGTGAAAAGAGATGCCCAAATACTTCAGTGCAAAGGGGAAACTTTTGTTTGAAAATACTGTCTTTTCAATTTTGTTTCCTTCCCACCAGAGATCTTTTTGTTTTGTGTTTGATTTTCTGCTTGAAAATAACTAGTTTGCTAGGAGTGAAATGGTAGTTAAGGTCTGCAGCCATTTCTTATTTTCTTTCCATATCTACATTCAGGAGCATTAAAGGGCACTGTTTAAAATTATTGGGAATAAGTAAAGTGAGGACAACATTGGCACATTAAAAGAAATGTAGAAATAACGCCATGGGCCCTGTTGTCACTTGAAAAGCGGCCTGTAGAATGACTTTGTTACTTTACCATATGTACACTAGAAGTTATCCAGGCTCAGAAACCAGATTCTATTTGGTCTTCATTTCTTGGCCAGGAATTCCTGCAAACAGGCCTCTGGTCATGTCCTCAGATCTTCCTTGCTATCTCTGTCCCTCATGGCCTTGTCAGTCTTCCCCGTTTCCCTCACTATTCAGTTATTTTGCCAATTAAGTTCGGTGAAGTGTCAGTGATAACAATTTCAAAAGGACTATGCTGATGAGGTTTATTAGTATCGTGAGGTAGCTTGTATATATTTTTAAAATTATAAATAGATAATATATTCTTTTTGCAGTGTGACCATTTTAAAATCCCAGAATTAGGGTCTGGGGCATTTGGCGTGTTCAGAGGCAGGATGGGACAAGTTAGAGACAGTGCCTGTGGCCCGGCAGCCCTCCCATTGGAAATACCAAATGTGTGCTTGTATTTTATTTATTATTTTTTTTTCTTTTTGATTGAATTGGAACTTGATAGCACTTAGTTTAATCTTTGTCTCTAATTGGATTTTTTTAGATGAGAAACAGAAACCAAGTAAAATTTAAGGTTCTTTTTCTCTAATAGGGAAAGTTGACAGTGGCCAGTTGCTATTACTTCATTAGTAGCTATGACTTAATTTCAGCCTTTGAGAAGGTCAACTCTTAGGTTATGGAGAACTTTCTTATACTTATGTATACACTTTTGTCTCGGCAGGATAATATAATTAAAAGCAAATCCATGAATTGTTCTGTTTATATTTTGAGTCAAAAACTTTGTTTACTTGCCAAGGTCTGTTAATTTAAGGCCTAATAAAAATGGCTTAACAGATTTAACAGATGTAAATATGTTTACATTTTTTTAAAGCGTGCAGCATATTTGAGGTGTGTTCATTTGGCTCCAAGAGACAAATATTAGGCTACATTTTCTTTCTCTCTTTAATCAAGTATACGTTCTAAAAGAAGCTTTAAGAATTAAAAGCCCCCTAGCAAGATATTTCACAAGATATTTTACTCTTCTATATTGTGGTTAGCATTTTGTCATTATAAATACAGCTGTATTCCTGGGCATCTGTGTATAGAATTGTACTGCAAATTTATGTGAAGTCACCTAAATTAACAGTTCTCAGCAGGGTCTCAAATATATAGTTGATGTTCTGGATGTAGAGAGTGCATTTGAGGAACATACAGGAAAGAAAGACAAAATTATTTAAGATTTATTAAAATACTATATTGAATAACAATCCTTCCCCATTTTCTTCTCTGTCCTCTGGAACCCCTTCAGTGGATGCTCTTGGTTACTCTCTTTGAGGGTTTTCCCCCCTTTGAATTAACTGGCCCCTCCTTTAATCTTGTGCTTAAACAGGAAAAAAAGATCTAGCTCTCCACGTACATGTGAATCTTTTGTGTGTAGATGGGAGATTTTCTTTTTCCTGGAAAAGCAACCACATCAGACTGTCCCAGGAAAGAAGATCTGTCCAGATCCTCTCCACAGTAATGTCCTCTTGCAGCCGTATACCACGATGAAACTAACCCTGCCCTCCAATACCTTTCTACTGTGTTGCTTCAGAATCCAAATTTTGTCTTACTTGATATGTCTTGTTAACATCTAGAGGTTTTGTTGGGGGATTTTGGTTTTTTATTAGAAAGCTCTAGCTTGTTAAGACCTTGAAAGTTGTGTTTCACCACAGTCACTGACTCCTGACGGCATGCTTTGCTTACTAGACTTCAGGCAGTCTCTTGTGTTCTATCCTATTTCTACATGGTTGGAAAACTGTTTGCTTTCCACGTATCTGAGATTTTTTCACATGTGCCTGTGTGAACATAAGCCATTACTGTTGGTAACATTGGACTTTGCCTGAAGAGGCTTGGTGTGCAGGTACATCCGCCGGCAGGAGAGGAGAGTGGATGCCAGCCTGCATCAGGACCTGAGGTATCAGAGGGTTTGGTGTGTGAACACAGAACAGCAGTCAGCCTGTGAAGAGTGAGACATGCGGTTGTGCACATTTCTTCCCCAGCTTCCTCTCCCTGTTCTTCCTCCCCAACTTCTCTGGCCTGTTGTCAGTGTTGTTCATTGATGCTTACCAAGAGGCAAACAATAGGGTTCCTACATTTTGCCTAATTGAGCTGCTAGCGACTTGGCTGGCAGCTGTGGCCACGTTGTATGTGAAGTGGATTTTCTTTGTTCTGAGTGACTTTTGATTCTGATTCTTTATGTTGTTTGTATGGAGCAGCACTTTATCTGTGTTTTAGCAGAACTATTTCTCTGTATTCTTTATGGTTTTTCCTTGTTTTTGTTCCCTTTTTAAATTATGCATAGAGTTTTTGTGTGTGGAATTAAAGCCTTTATTAACCTTGTGGTTTGTCTGTTATTTCTGAAGAGGGCACATTCTTGTAGACACTTTTGAAAGTTAGTTGTTGGGAACCGGCAATCTGTTGCCTTCTGACTGCTCTCATGCAGCGCTGTTAGACCTAAAGGCCGGTAGAGGGCCAGCCAGCATAGAGATGGAGTCCCCACTGCGTTCCCATCATCTCCACCCGAAGAGCCTGTGAGCTTGGTGGCTCTGGCCTCAGCTGACTCTCCTGTGTCTTACTGTTAAGGGTACCAGAGAGGGGTGCAGTAGCATTTGCATTTCCTATTTGCCTTAATCCTCAAGCTGATGCCCAGTAGATACGCTGCACTAACTGACTAGCATTATGAAGTCTAATCAAATATCTAAGCCATTCTTCTTCAAAGAAGGGGTCCCTGTGACTTTTAGGACCCGGGTAAGGCTGTGAGGAAAGTATGTACAAAAAAGAAATTCCATTATTCTTGGAAAGATAGAAAACAAATGCTTCAGCCCCTCTGCCATGAGTAAAAATCCGCTGAGAGAGAGGATGGCGGCTCAGAACTGCTGTGGGAAGAGTCAGGAAGTTCTAGAGCAGGATGGATAGAAACAGGCCAGCCAACCAGAGCACTAGTGTTGGGGTCTCAGGGTCCTCCTGGGAGCACCCTCTCGGTTACAGATGGTTGGCACTGCCCCACAGTGTGCCACTCACAGACGTGATTATAACTTTACATTTCAATTGGCATAAGGATACCAGGAATAAAAACAACCCCGCATGCAGGGCAAGGCAGTGCTTTTTAACAAGGGCTATTCTCAAAAGAGTCCTTTTTCTTTCTTGAGGTTTTGTTGCTTCCACCGAGGCAGAGCAGAGAAGGCAGCCGGACTCATCCCCAAAGCCTTTGTGAAATCCTCCGTGGACAGGTGCGCCTAGGAACAGAGGGCAGAGGTCACATTCCTGCTGGGCCTGTATTCTGATGAGTCATAAACCCTTGGCCATAGAGTTGACTCCGGCTCATGGTGACTCCAGGTTGTCAGTAAAACTCCACAGGGTTTTCAGTGACTGATTTTTCAGAAGTAGATTATCTGCCTTCCCAGTCATCTCTGGATGGACTCAAATCACTTTTTGGTTAGGAGCCAAGCCAACCTGATTCCCCACCGGGGACTTTGCATACAGGTGTGACATGTAGGTGATGTCTTAAGAACCAGGAAAGGGCGGGTTAGAGGACAGGCCAGCATTTCAGGGTTCCAAAACTTGTCCCTAAGTGATTACATTTGGAACATGAACAAAACAAAACAGTAATGTGGTAGTTTGAAATAAGACATTTAACAAGGCTGACATTGCGTCCCCTTCGAGGTCTTAGTTTTCCTCTCTAGAAAATGGGAGAAATCTCACAAAGACCAATGCTCCTACTTTAAGATTTTCTATGTGGATGGAGAAAACTGCATGAAAAATGCAAACTCACAATTCATAATGACCCACCATTGGATGTCAGAGGCCATAAATCACAACAAAGAGACTGCCCCACTCCCTCCCAAGGGACTGGTGGATTTGAACAGCCAGAGACAGCCTTTTGATTAGCTGTGCGACACCCTATGGACTAGGCCACAAGACAAAGCGTTGAAAACAAAGTCTCTTGTCTATTTTAAAGCAGCAGACAATCTGCAAGGGCTGAGATGATTCTTTACGGACGCCTCTCCCAGGAATTCCACGGCTGGGGGTGGGAGTGAGGGTGGGGGCAGGGATCTGCTCACACTGAAGATCTCTAATAAGACTTGGCTGCTCTTACCACAGGATTCTCCTAGCAAGAGCCCATCAACCCTGGGAGGGCCCCTCTGTTGGACCCACCTTGCTTTAGATGAAGTCCAAGAAAGAGGACCTGCCCTTGCCCTAGTGTGCAGAACAGCACCATCCTGGCCTGCGTATGCTGCTGGAGCATTTACAAAAATAGAGGGGGACACCTGAACATTCCCATTTTCAGGAGACGTGGCCGAAGTTCTCTGATTCCACAGCCTCTCCCCAGCATGATTTCAGATAGTCTGATAGCTTTTTGTCCTAGACCTGCCCAGTATATACTGTGCTGTGATGGAAACGTGAGCATTACAGCTTCTCCCTCGCTCCCTCCGCCCAGCTGCCCCTTACAGGTTGGTTCTGGTTAAAGGACAATTGTTAAGTGTCATCAGTCATCTATACTCCCCTGGGAATATATCAAGATCCCTGGTAGTGTAATGGGTTAAGTATTGGGCTCAATCAAAAGTTGTTAGGCTGAAAAGGGCATTCTGGTGGCCTAATGGTAAGGAGTTGGGCTGCCAACACAAAGGCATTTCAAATTCACCAGCTGCTCGGGCGGGGGAGAGATGGGTCATCTCATCCATTGCGATTCACTGCCTCTGAAAACCTGGAGGGTCAGCTATGAGTTACAGCTCGATGGTAAGTCCCACCAGCAGTGGCCAGAAAGTCAGGTTTGAATCAGCTGCTGTGCATGAGGAAGATGAGGCTGTCTGCTCCTGATAAAGATCTGCAGATTGAACCCCTGTGGGGCTGTTCTACCTTGTCTTACACGGTTACTGTGATTTAACAATTGTTGGCAGTGAGTTTGGGGCAGCTAGTGGGGGGCTCTCATGGCTCACCAATTCCAAAGACAGGGCATCTGAATCCACCAGTGGCTCCAAGGGACAAAGATGGACAGTCTCTTCCTGTGCAATTTATAACCTCTGAAAACCTGATGACGGGTCAGCTATGAGTCAGGGTCTGACTCAGTGTCACCTAACAACAACATCAACGAGATGATTATCTGGGAGCAGCAGTTTTGTTTAAAGATGGCTGGAGTCTAACAGCAGAAGATACAACTGAGGTTGGAGTAGGCTCTTGAAAGGAGAAGCTAGAAAGTTCAAAGAACAAATTTTGCCTAGTTGTTTCTCAGTAGAAAAGGGAGGCCTGGTGGTCTCATCTGGAGAGAGTTGTGCCTCTAACCCAAAGGCGATGCCTCTGGTTTGACTGTCAGCTTCCACAGGAGAAAGGTGAACACTGCCGTGTAACTGACAGCCTCTGAAGACCCTCTGGAGGATCAAGTCTGAGCTGGTTCCCACTCGATGGCAATGCCGTTGGAGTTTTCTAGTTTTATTTTGAATGGAAAATTGATATCGAATAACCAGTCCTGGCTTCTCTTGTCCTGTAAATGATCCACAAAAATTTCAAAAAAAAGACACTGTCATCAAGTTGGAACCAACTCACAGCCGACTAACTCACAGTGGGTTTTCAGAGGCTGGACATCACCCAGGAGGAGACGGCTCATCTTTCTTCCTCGGAGCAACTGGGAGAAAGATTTCGAACCGTGTGCCTTTGGGTTGGCAGCACAACTCCTTTCCACCAAGCCACCAGAGCTCCCACGAGACCACCGCTATGACTGACTGTCAGACAGCAGGTCAGAAGCTTGTTCTATCCTGTACCGTGCTGCTCAAGCCCACTGTAACGGTCACTGCATCGTTCCATCCTGTGGAGGGTCTCCCTCTCCCTCTGACCCACCACCTGTCCCAGCAGGATGTGCTTTTCCAAGGCCTGACCTCTCCTGACGTGCCCAAAGTGTACGGGACAAAGTTCCACCATCCTTGCCTATGGAGAGCACCCTGGTTGCACTTCCTCCAGAAATGTCTCAATAACTGTCGAGTTCAACTCATAGCTGACCTCCGGGGGCTTTTCAGAGGCAGTAAATCACACAAGAGGAGACTGCCTGTCTTTCTCCTGTAGAGTGGATGGTGGGTTTGAACCATGTGCCTTTTGGCTCACAATGCAACTCCTTACCCCTAAGCCACCAGAGCTTCCTCTAGAAACATTTGATAACAGAATCCTCCCTCTGTTCTCTTGTCCTGAAAGTCACTACCAGGATATAAACTGAGGGAATGACTGAAACAACCTTCATCCCAACTCTAACATGAAATGATAGTGAAGCTGTGGAAGGCAAGCCAAATGGCCTCATGGCACAGGCTTGTAAGGACTTCAAATTAAAGATGCCACCAGACAGCTCCTCCCAGCCTCCATCTCTGCGCCCTGAGGCATTGGGAGGGGACAGGCTCAGGTGAAAGCAGTGGGCTTCAAGAGGAGTTTCTCTGATCAATGTCTTACTGACTCTGGAAGGCAGCCCTGAGTTGACTTCTTGGTAAACACCTACCTTTTGATTGACTCAAACACAGGTGGTTCTGAAGCCCTAGTTCTCTAATCTGTCATTAGACTTGCCTCTTGCCCCTGAGACATTCTCTCCTCAAGACTCCAGGGAATCTCACCCACTCTCCAAGGCAGGCAGTACAGTACTTTGGGGAGAAGAGAATAAATGAATGCCTTCGGCATCAGTAGATGGGAAAGAGCAGCTAGGCCCTAAGTCTGTCTGCAGTGGCCATGATGTCTGTCCACACTGGTCCAGTCATTTTGGATCTTGAGTTTATTGTGCCTACTGGACTCTGACTCTTTGGGCTAGTTAGCTGGACTTGAATCTTTCTATTAGTCTGATTTTGAACCCAGCAGCCCTGGCAACTGATTACCAGCCTCACCCATGCCCATATCTACTGCTCAGTTCATTCATCAGTGCGCCAACCTCAGATTACCATCTTGCTACTGCCCTCCGTGACCACTGTCACTGGCTCACCTTCCAAGTAGATCAGGCAGAGAGGTCTGAAGACCCCTCCCACCCTCTCATGTGGCCAAGAATGAACACTCCTCCCACAATAATAAAAAAAAAAATCAGTGACAAATGATTGGAAAAAATAAACCTCAAGTTAAAGATTGCTTCTACCTTGGTGGGTGGTTTTTGTTCTGGTTTGGTTCTTGTCAATTCTGTTTGTTCTAGTTGAAATTCAAACCTGTTTGAGCATCCGGTCCACCATCTGGTCCAATGACACTAGTCACCTTCCTTTTAGGAATCTCTTCTTTATGCCAAATGAACAAAAGGAAGTTGTTATTGTTGTTAAGTGCTGTCAAGTGGAGCACGACTCATAGCAACCCTATGAACAAAAGATCTGAACCCGTTCTATAACTAGCATCGTTTCTCTAATGTTTACAGAGTTTCAAAGACATGTTTTTTAGGAAGTGGATGCCAATCCTTTTTCCAAGCCTGTCTTAATCTGAGAGCTCCACCAAACACTGTCCATCATGGGTAATGACTAGAGTATAACTTAGTACTTGCTTTTGGGACTGACTAATGCAGGAGTGGCATCCACTTCCTAAATAACACGCCTCCGGAAACTCCATGAACTTTGAGAAATGTCAACAGTTGTAGAGGGACTTTAGGCCTTTTGTCCATAGGGTCGCTATGAGTTGTGTTCGACTTGAAGGCAATCAACACCACGATTACATGATAGTAAGCAAGTCACTTCTCTTTGGACCTCAGAGGGGGTTTTGTCCATTGTAGACCAGAAACTAAGTACTTATATTCATAGAATAATTTCATATACCAGAGGTTGAGCTAAACTGGTCATCCATACTGTGATCAACTCCATCCTACGATGGGAACTCCTAGCCCTCCAGTCACCTCACAAACAAGAAGGCCCAGGAGAGAACTACAGGAAAGTGCTTTTCAAGTTGAAGGACAAGCTCTGATTTAAATGGCACGTTTTGGGTGGGATCACACAAACAACACGTGCAGAACACTAACACAGGGACTGGTCAGTTTTGCCATTTCATGAGGCTTCAATGCAGCAGGCTCAGAGGTAGAAAATGGGAATTCCACTGCCATCAAGAAGAAAGAATTTGAGATTAGAGATCTCTGTGCAAACCCAAGAGAAAGAGCTGTGGTGACAATGGAAAGAAGCAGATTTGAGAGACGGCGACAACAGTGGCAGAGAATCCAAGACCAGTGTAAGACAGGCTTCCAACCCAAGAAAGCTGAGGACTTTGCTGAAAAAAATGAGCACCTTTAGGTACTTCCCAAGGGAGCCAGGTCTGCCATTTTGCAGAGCCAAAGCTGAGCACCTCTGGGCCTAGGTTTACGGCGGAGTTGGGGTAGTACATAATTGGTAGGTCTCATCTAAAGGAGCTTTGCAGTCCTTGCCTGAGCAAGGTTAAGGCCATACTACAGAGGGTTAGAGGCAGCCTGCATGTGAACAAGCCTGAGAAGAGACTCTTCTCACTGAGCTAAATCCCAAGTGTTCTCAGAACTAAAACTGTAACCTGTTACTTCCCTAATAAACCTCATCATTGTGAGGTCTGTCTGTGAGCTCTGAGTGACCCATGCAATCAATCTTCAAACCTAGCAGAGCAGCAGTGAGAGCTGTGGGAGAGACAGCTGGTGTTAGAAGGAGGAGTGCAGGGTGAGGGGCATGTCAGCTCTTACTGTAATTGGCTAGGATGCTGCTGATGGGGACGGGTTTCCCCCCTTTTGAAGTTGAGGGTTAGACTCTGCATCCCTCACACTCACAACACAGTTTTTACAGACTTTAACTAGAACAGTGTTTGACTATCTACTGAACATGAACTTTGACTTGGATGTCTTATGAAGGCCACCACTAAACTTACGACAGCTGTAATGGGCTCACGCATGAGCTCAGAAACGATGAGGGTGGCACAGGATAGTACAGGGTTCAGATCTGCTGTTCAGAGGATCATTATCTGTTGTTCAGAGGATCACTATGAGAGATACTTGACTCAACAGCATGTAACTACAACACACTCGTGATTTCGCCCATCCACGCTCAGTCTCAGGGCAGCCTTGTGCTCCAGAGCGCAGCTTGCTGTTCACAGGGTTTTCCAAACCATGACTTGTCAGAAGTAGGTTGTTGCTCAGTCTTTTTTTTTTTCTTAAGTGCTGCCAAGTGGGTTTGAACTACCAACCTTTATGTTAGCACTTGAGCGCAAATTGTTTGAGCTACCTACCTGCCGTGAGTCAGAACTGACTCAACAACAGTAGGCAAAGCTCAGTCCTACCCAAGCTGGTGTATCTGAGAACTCTCTGTCCCCTTCTCACACACCTTTTACTCAGTAATCACCAAGTGTCATGGATTTAACCTCCTGCATTTTTTCCTAAGTCTTGTATTTCTCTCTACTTCCTGAGCCACAGCCTGTCCTAGGACCCATCCATCTCCCGGCCTGACAGCTTGCACAACTGCCCCCTCAGGTCTCATACAGAGGCTCTGCCATCGCCGATCTCTTCTTCAGGAGAAGCTTCAAGTATGACCTTTCTAAAATGAGAATCTGACCGTACCGTAACTCCCCTGCTCCACCCTGTAACAGCTTCCTTCCACTTTCAGGAGAGAGAATGCAAGACCTCGCTCATGCAGAAGGCATTACCCACCCGGTCCGGCCCTAGCCTGCCTGGTCACCTGCCTCTGCCCAGTTCTTGGCAAGCAGCCACTCAGGCCACCTCGTGGTCTTGCCACACACACTGCTAATTAGCCCCTGCCTCTGCACTGTGTACTCTACCTCCTGGTCCAGGAATAACCTGCCTCCGCTTTGCCTGCAAAATTCCTATTCACCTTTCAAAAGGAAATGCTCTCTGGCCAAACCAAGGTCCAATTTTTAACACTCTTGGGGGTACCTGCACTTCTCTCTCGTGCTATTAAAATTGAACACTAGTGACGGCCTCTTTGATCTCTCTTCCCAGCGGAGACATGAGCTCAGGAGGCAGGGCATTGTGGGTATCACTCCTGGGCATCCCCACCACCCTCTCATCTTCAGGAGACAGTGTCCTGTTGTCCTCTTGGATGAGGACTCACCTCCCTCCTGCTGGGGTCCACACCCTCGGGGAGCTCCTCCAAGGACTTGTTCACCAGTTGCTCCAGGGGGAAGATGGGGAGAGGTCCAGAATTCAGGTTGCTGTTGGCATTGAACACATCCACTTTGGGGCTTATAATCTCCTAGGAAAGAAAAAGACATCACTAGTTACTTAGCTGGTCTGTCACTCCCTCCAAGGCTGCCTCTCTGTGGTGCTGGCATTGGTTCTAAGGCACCTCCTTCAAGAAGTCTTCCTCGACTCCCCCTCGCCGCCTCCCTACCCACCCACGCACGCACACACACGCTCCTCCTAAGAACACACCAGATGGGACCCATGAGCTAAGAGCTTAGTGTCTCTGTCCAGCCAAAGTCAGCTGGAATGAGATGTTAATAGCATGTTAAAGACCTACGTGGCCACTTCACACCCCTCTCCGGTCTGTATCTGTTATGAAACCATCTTGTGTAAATTCACTTGTCATTTTGTGCCATTAAGTCAACTGGGATTCAGAGGCCCGAAAGACGGAGTGGGACTGCCCTGCAGGGTTTATCTCAAGAGCTTCTCGAGACCCTGTGGTCTGAGTGTCACTGTGCACGAGAACTCCTACACATTCACTATTCTCATCCTGTTGATAGTTTTCAGCCTTCAAAGTAGTCTGCTAATAAGGGTATCTCGAGGGCCACAGAGTACGCTCAACCTATGGGCGGGCAGAGACACCCTGTGTGTCAGCTGGGCATGACCTCACCAGGCTTGGAAACTGCTCACATGTTCTGGCCATTATTTCTGCATCATCTACTCTGTCTTGTTGCCCCTGGATACCTGTGAACTCTTGAAAGGAAGGATTTGATTCTTATTCCCATACCCTAAGCCAGCAGTCTATAGACAGAATAGATACTGGTCAATAACAGAAACACTGAAGGTGGTGTAGTTATGCTGCCTGAAGGGATCCCAGGAGTGACAGTGGAGGGAGAAACATCACCTCTCAAAGGAGAGCCCAGGGCTAGCTGCATCAAATTACCCAGGTCCTGTGTTAAAATCAGGCTGGTTCCTAGGCCCCAATCCAGTTCCACAAACCACAGTCTCTGGGAGCAGCCCCCAGAAGGTACATTTTAAAAAGCCATCCTCTCATACATGACATCATTTGATTGAGAACCATCTCAGTAGGGACCAGAGCAGACCTAACTAGAGGTATTCAAATCAAACAGCCAGAAGTTGGGAGAAACAGTAGGACATTGGCCTCATCTTTGCTCATCACCACAGGACCAACCACCTGACACAGCTTCAACGTGTTGAAGGAAAAGGTCAAGGTTAAACCACCTGCCCCATACTCACAGAAGTGAGCTGGCCCCAGTTCCCAGGGTTTCCAAGTTCCCCCTTCAGGTCCTCATAGGATTTGACATTCTGCAAATGAAGAGACAGATTACACACAGGCCTTAGCAGAGAAAAGAAAGGCCATTTTCTTTCAGGAGTTAAAATAAGGGTTGGCTTTGGGCCTAGGGGTGAGGAAGGCAGGGGAGCTCTGGCTGAGGCATGGGGAGGGTCCCTGGGAAAGGAGGTTAGGTGGTGTCATGGAATAGGGGTGAAGAGTTCAAGGGTCATCCCTCCACCCATACACAGCATCACACAGCCTGGAGAACCTGATGGCAACACTGTAAGGTCCAGAGACACTCAGGGTCCTAGAGAACTGGGGGGCTGCCTCTTAATAGTTATGGGGAACCCTGACTCAGAAGGATCAAGGAAGAAACCACAGCTTCTGGAGGGACTCTTTCCCAGTCCTTAGCACCATACATGACACATTATTTCTGCTATGTTGAATGAATGCATGCAGTCAGCACAGACTTGAGAGGAGGGGAAGACGGCGAAGGTTGCTGCCTTGGGGCACTGAAGTGGACGTGAGACGTGCTGGCATTTAGATTTGTAGCCTAGAGATTTGTCTAAACTCAGCCCTTCAATCATGCAATTCACCTTTGTTTTTTCTTTTGAGCAAATGAACCTAATCCCTACCTAAGCCTGACCGTTCTATTTGTCCTGGAAAGGGTTAAACCGGGTGGCTCCTTGGAGGCAAGGATTCTGAGGCTCTGTCTAACATACTTTGGACATGTGAGGAGAGACCAGTCCTTGGAGAGGGACATCATGCTTGGGAGGGTGGAGGGACAGGGCAGGAGAGGAAGGCCCTCTATGAGGTGGATTGATTCAGTGACTGGGATAATTGGGATGGGAATGTCGGAGACAGTGTGATTGGCACAGGACAGAGTGGAGTTTAGGGCTGTTGAACATAGGGTCGCTATGAGTCACAAGCGACTCGACGGCACACAACAACAACAAGAAGAAGCCTGACCACTGCTTCAGTTTTGTTGCTGCTGTTCTGTGTGCAACTGAGTGGATTTCAACTGACAGAAGACCCTACCGACAGAACAGAACAGCTCCATGGGGTTTCCCAGTCTGTCATTTTTGCAGGAGATTGTTTTTGTTGTTGTTATGTGCCATCAAGTTGGAAATGACTCATAGCTGACCCTCCAGCAGGTTTTCAGAAGCTGTAAATAGCACAGGAGGAAATGGCCCATCTTTCTCCTTTGGAGCCAGCTGGTGGATTCAAACTGCCTGCCCCTGGCTTGGCAGTGCAGCTCCTTGCCACTAAAGCGTCCTGTTGTTAGATAACCTCAGTACGATTCATGGCGACCCATGAACAAAAGTCTTGAACCCTGTGTCCTAAAAGTAGATGACTGATGGTGGTGGTGGTTATGGACCGCTGACCAGGAGCTGACTCATAGCTGACTCTCCAGCAGCTTTCCAAAGGCAGTTAATCTCATGGTTCTCTTTCTTCTCTGGTGTAGCTGGTAGATTTGAACCACATGTTTTTGCGTTGGCAGCACAACTCCTTAGCAGTAAGCTACCAGAGCTCCCTAGAAATAGGTTACTGGGGCTGTTCTTCCGGAGTCAACGGTAGATTTGAACCAGTGATTTAACCACTCACCCACCAAGACCCTCTTGCATCAGTTTAGAACACCAGAGCACCAGGATGGAATTTGCTCCACGTTTACCTGGACTCTCTTCAGGAAACCTTCCATGGGGTTTCACTGAGAGGACTTGACCTTCTCCCAGGGCTCTGCTTCTACTGGGATCAACGGAGGATCTAACTACCCTGTGGAGGTCTGAATCACTGTCCCTGGGGTATTCCTTCTCACTGACTCACTGCCGTGGGTCAGAACCAACTCCTCGCTGACCCTCCACCGAGTTTTCTGAGGCTGTAAAATGCAAAGTAAGAGACTGTGGCTGGTAGGTTCCAAGTGCCAGAGAGGCGCCATCTTGGATTAAGAGCATGGCACCCTACAGAACGAGGTCCTCGGGGTAAAGGCCACACGTATGAGCCGTTGTGCTTCAATGTCAGGGTCAGGAAACATTTGTTCTTTAGCCCTGTCATGGTTCCTTTTATCTGGAATGAAGATCTGGCAGCACAATAGAGCTTTCTGTAGAGACGGAAAAAGTGCACTTCTGTGCTGCAGCCACTGGCCGCATGGGGCCACTGAGCCTCAGAAAGGTGGCTAGTGCAGCTGAGGGACTGAATCTGTTACTTCATCACATTCTAATTAATGTAAATTTAAATGGCCAGTGCAAATCTTACCTAAAACCAGCAGTTCCAAGCTAAAATACAACGCATAAGTAAAGCTTTTTATCATTATGCAGGTTTCTGATAGAATCCCTTCCATCTCACTCACCAAAGGGTGAAAAACATCCTTACTGCAGACCTACTTTTTGCTCTAACTCATCTCTTTCTAAGGGAACTCTGGTGGCCTAGAGGTAAGAAGCTGTGCTGTAATCCCAAAAGCAGGTGGTTCGAATCTACCAGCTGCTCTGTGGCAGAAGAATAGGCTGTCACCTCACATACAGTTCACTGCCTCTGAAAACCTGCTGGAAGATCAGCTGTGAGTCAGTTCCGAGCTGACAGCACAAAACACCCTCTCTATCAGCTGCCATCCATCCAGTGCTGACTCATGGGCCCCTGTGTGTCAGGGAGTAACTGTGTTCCAGAGGGTTTTTAATGGCTGACTTTTTTGGAAGTGGATTTCAGAACTTTCCTCCCAAAAGCTTCTGGGTGGATTCATACTTCCAACCTCTTGGTTAGAAGCTGAGTTTGTTACCTGTTTCCATCTCCCAGGGGCTCCCACTCACCTCTAATCTCCTCCAGACAAGCAGGTCATCACTAGAGAGCTGTCAGCCCTGCCCTTGAAACAATACAGAGAAGGGTGGGCTAAGCAGGGGTCACTCACATTCCACTTGAAGGGGTCCCAGGCCAGGAACCAGCCTGTGAAGGTGGGGGGCTCATGTCCCTGCTTCACCACTATGATAGGCGTCTCGGGGTCACGGCCACTAGGGTGGGTCTTGAGGTACTCCTGCACTGTGACGGCTGCAGCCTTCTTCTCTTCTTCTTTGGCATGCTTCCCGATCCAGAAAAAGACCTGTTGGGGATCCCAGGACTGAGCTGGCCCTTCCCAGCTTCCCTGGCCCACAGGGGACATACATATCTCAGGAGACAGATGATAGTTGAGTCCTTGATGTTTGCATCTGGGCGATGAGGAGGTTGGACAGATATCACCTACTTAGAAATTGTGAAGGTCTGTGACTCCCACACTCTTTGGAGCCCAGATCCTCTAAAGAACTCTTTCTGCCATAAAACAGATTAGACACTGGGTGGAGAAGGATGCATCCTACCCAGTCTCTCTCAAGTGATGTTCATAATATAGTTCCCAGGGACAAAGCATGTGAAAGCCAAGAAAACACTGGGGCTGCTTCTTTCTTGGCCCTGAAGGCTGAGGTGAGCCCCCCAGCCCTCTTCCTTCCTACCTGGTCCCAGACATCAAGCAGGAACACATCATCCTCTTCCAAGTCATCCTGATTGAAGTCAGGGATTTCCGTGGCCAGGAAGCGCCCAGTCTGGTTGGAACATTCAAAGAGCCGGGGGGCAATGGCCAGGGTTTCTTCCTGCAACCTGCAGGATGGAGAAACAAGTGGGTTTAGTGAAAGAAAGCAGAAGGTAGGAGAGCAAGGATAGTGAACCTAGAGAGACTCTGAAATGGAAAAAGAGGGGCCCTGCTGGCTCAGTATTTAGGTGCTTGGCTGTTAACCAAAGGTTGGAGTTCAAACCCACCCTGCCACCCTGTGAGACCTGTTTCCATCGGGATTATAGCCTAGGAAACATACAAGGCTGCTTGGAGTCAAATCAACTCGGCAGCCCCCAATGACAACTCTTCCCTGAAAAATGCCTTATCTTAGGGAGCTCTGGTGGCCTTGTGGCAAGAAGCTGCACTGCAATCCCAGAGGCACGCAGTTCAAATCCACCAGATGCTCTGCTGGAAAAGGAAGGATAATCTCCTCCTATACGAGTCAGATCTGATTTGACGGTACATGCACGCAAAAAAAAATTACGAATCCACCAGATGCTCTGCCAGGGAAGGAGGGGCCATCTCCTCCTGTACCAGTCAGATCTGATTTGACGGTACACGCACACAAAAATAATAAAAAAAAAATTAAAAATAAATAAATAAAATAATAAATAAATAAATAAAAATTTTAAAAAAGAAAGAAAAATGCCTTATCTTCTGACTGAATGAAAAGACCTTCCTTATCCCTCAAGTACTCCAAGAGAGAAAATTCCAGAACACACCTTCCAATGCCTCATCTACAGGCTTGTTTTTGTTGTGTACAGTCAAGTCAGATTCAACCCATAGCTGACCCTTCAGTAGTTTTTTTATCTGTTTTTATTATTTTATTTCCAACTTTATTAATTTGTTTTTCCAACATTATATACTTTTTTTAAGTTTTATTGTGTATTTTGGTTACATGATTTTTTAAAATATTGGCTTGCTTACAAAGTTCGTATACATTGTGTTTCACACTATTCTTCATTCACATCGTGTTTCATACTGCTGAAGTGAGCACCTTTCAGTAGTCTTTCAGAGACAGTAAATTGCACAGGAGGAGACTGCCCATCTTTCTCCCTTGGAACAGCTGGTGGTTCAAACCACATGCCTTCAGGCTGACAGTGCAAATCCCTACCACCAAGCCACGAGGCCTGTGAGGAATTTCTTTTTGGTATTTCCCTCTCATCCCTCTTCCTGCTATGGCAGCAATGGTGCTTTTGGTAGTGAACTGAAGAATGGCAGAAGATGGATACTCTTAGGAAAATCCTTCTGAAAAGGGACATTTTCAGCTGATGTTCTTCAGCATCCTGAGCCTGTATCAGGCAGGGAAAGGGCTAGGGCACCTCTGGAACTGTCTCCCTAAAGGGCAAACTTACAACCTGGGCCTCAGTGTGAACTCCCACCTGCAGCTCTGAGCTCCCTTTGCCAAGGAAAGAACTCAGGCCTCAGGTATGACCAGTGAGCACAGAGCCATGGCCGGAAGGCCCTAGGACACGGCTGTCCTTGAGCCATCATGGAGCCCTGGAGGCTAGCATGGTGGCCTCAGTCCATGTCTGCCACAGGCTCTAGACCACGAGGGTGGAAGCAGAGGGTCTGATCCATCTAGTTACCTCTTGCTGTTGGCGTATGGGGCCTTCCCACCTAGGGCCATCCAGAAGTTGGCCGGCTCCTGTCCTTCCACCACCACTTGCTTCTCCGTCCGGGAAATGATGTCAGCCACCATCTTGGCCATCTCTCGCTCGTCTCCGCTACAGCCCTGGGAAGGGGAAGGGTCTTGTGTCACCTCTTGCCTCAGTCGGTATAGGGTTCTGAGAAGGCACATCTGGATCAGACATCACGCACGGCAGATGTGGGGCCCGTTCTCCCATCCTCCTCTCTGTCACTGATGTTCCAAAGAATGCCAGAGGAGACAAGAGAGTCCACATACCCTCAGAAGGCAGGAGAAAGGCTGAGAGTCCCTGTCACAGCACTCAATGCAGAGGCAGAAACAGGCTCCAGAGACAAACAGAGCAAGAGGGACTGACTCGGACAGAGTGGCAGAGAATCTGGGCCCAGCAGAAAGAACTCAAGCCGAGGAGATGCCAGAGACGAATCCCAAAGACAGCAGGAGAATGACGGAGCAGGGCCCCTTCAGCCTGAGTCCTGCCCTGCCTGACCGACCGAGGGGGATGACCGAGCAGGACCCAGCCGGCCTACAACCTGCTCCTGCCTGGGTCTTCCCAGGCTCCAGGACACTTCAGGACCCAGTCCGGGCCTGCACGCACCTTTCCACACCACAGGTAGCAGCAGGACTGGGTCTTGAGGATGAAGACGTCGTTGGAGTTGAGGGAGGTGGCACGGGCTGGGACTTCAAAGGCCTTGGTGTTGTTGGCGTTGGTGCCCCGGACTTGGAAGAGCTGTGTGGAGGGTACAGGCTCCTGGCTGTTAGCCCGGGAGGTGCCTCCCTGCAGGATGTGAGAAGACCAGACAAGAGGGGGACTAACTTAGTAAAGAAGACCATGAGGGGGACTCAAGGGACATAAAGAGAACCAGAGAGGAAGAGGATTGGGGGGCTGGAGTGCCCCACAGCTCTTGACCATCCAGTTCCTTTGATATACTGTCATGGACATGAGTTCACCTTTTCAAAACCTTGCTTGCATCATGGAGGCCTCTGCTCAGACACCTTCAGTAGCTCCCTATTCCTTATCAAATAAAACCCAAGCTCCTCAACTAGGTGTCATCCCTGGGAAGGCAAACCGTTAATGTACTTAGCCACTAACTGAAAAGTGATAGGTGACTGAAAGTCATAGGTTTGAGTCCACCTGGAAGACCTAACAAACCACTTCTGAGAAAACCAGCCCTTGAGAATCCCATGGGGCACGGGCCTCCTCCGACATACGGGGGTTATTACGAATCTGAGTGGATTTGATGGCAGATGACAGCTAGTGTCCCAGAGGGCGTGTCAAGGCTACTACAACTTGTAGCAACTCTGTCAACAGCAGATCAAAACCCGATTCTATGCTGCCCCATCCACACAGCCCCCGACATACCCAGGCCCACTGCTGCAGGCACTGTGTGGAGTCATCTCCTGAGGGTCTTCCTCTCTTTTGCTGACCCTCTGCTTCCCCCAGTTTGATGTCTTTTACCAAGGACTGGTGCCTCCTGCTAATATGCCCAAAGTATTTGAGATGAGGTTTCCCCATTCTTGTCCCCATGAGGATGTTACAAATTGTCTTTCTAGACTTCCTGCCCTCCGACGCAGGTTAGCCAGGCCAGACTTCTCAAGGCCCACAGCCTCACTTGAGGCTTTCATCCAAGCCTGCCACTGGCAGTGAGGGTCCGTTTCACTCTGCCAAGTGATGCAGGAGTAATGATGTCAGTTTGAGGACTAAGGTGCATCTGATTGAGGCCATGGTCCTTCTGGTCACTTGCTAATGACTCAGAGAGCTGGACAATGAATACGGATTACAGGAGAATTGATGCCTTTAAGCTTTGGTGCTGGAGAAGAGTGCTGCACCTCCCAAGGATGGTCAAAAGAACAAATATGTTTTGGAAAGGGTACAGTCAGAGTGCTCTTTGGAGGCAAGGACAATGAGGCTTTGCCTCACATCAGGCACGTTGCTAAAAGGGACTATTCCTTAGAATATGAAGTTGGGAGTGGTGGAGGGCCAGCGAAGGAGAGGAAGACCCTCAACCACATGGACTGACACGATGACTGCTGCAATGAACTTTAGGGTGTCAGGAAGTGTGTGGATGGAACAGGATGGAACAGCGTTCAGATCTGTGGTTCGTCGGTCTCGATGAGTCACACTCAACTCGACAGCACCTAACAACACCAAGCACTGATTTGAATATCAAGATCATGACTCTTATGCCTATTCCCTGGTTAATGTCCCCATTCTCCTCTCCAAACTCAACTCTTCTTTCTCCAACTTCATTCTCTCTGTCCCCTGTCAGTACACTGCTGAAGTGCGTCTAAGGAGAGGGTAGAAACACCAGCCTGTCATTCCCTCCCTTCTAGAGGTGTCATAAAGGACTGTGCGTTTAGGAGATGCTCAATAAACAGGTTACAGATTCACTGCATGCAAGTGAGGATTCTCTCTCTCTTTTTTCTTTATTGTGCACCATCGAATCGGATCTGACTGGCACAGGAGGAGACTGCCCCTCCTTCTTCAGCAGAGCATCTGGTGTTTGAGAATTAACTATATTTTTTTTTGTGTGTGTGTGAGAAAAATTTCTATTTAGAATTAGCCTGCTGGACTCAGTTTAGATGATCCCAATTTTGTTGGCCACATCCAAAGCATTATAATCAGGAGCAAGCTGAACATAGGTCTTCTTCTCTCCATCAAAGTGTTGACCTTAGCCACATCAATGTCATAGGGGTTCTTTACAGCTTGTTTAATTTGGTGCTTGTTGGCCTTGACATCCACAATGAATACTAGTGTGTTGTTATCTTCTTTCTTCTTCATAGCTGACTCAGTGGTCAGGGGAAACTTGATGATGGCATAGTGGTCAAGCTTGTTTCTCCTGGGGGCATTCTTCTGGGAGTATTTGGGCTGCCTTCGGAGTTTCAGCGTCTTAGGCCACCGGAAGGTGGGTGATGTGCAAATCTTTTTTTTTCCTGTGGCTGTGGATGCCCTTCAGGATGCCTTCTTGGCCTTTAACATCTTTGCTTTGGCTTCAGTTTTGGGAGGGGCAGGGGCTTCCTTCTTTGCTTTCAGTGCCATCTTCGTAGAAAGCGAGGATTATCTCTTTATACCGAGATTCCCCAGTGCACTTAGTCAGGCACTTCATTCAAGCAAATCTAGCCAAGAGTCCTGAATATCCCACGGACTGCCAGAAGAACAGACACGTCTTCAAGAAAGTGCAGCCGGAGTGCTTCTTGAAGACAAAGGTGACGAAGCTGTATCTCCCATACTACAGGCATGTCCTTGGAGAGGACACGATGCTTGGAAATGAGGAAGGTCGGAGAAAGAGACCTTCAACAAGACGGACGGACACAGTGACAGCTGCGATGGGCTCAGGTGTTGTCAGAGATGAGGAAGATGGCACAGGACAGGACAGGACAGGAATCATGTCTGTTGTTCAGTATTGCTAGAGTCATACACGACTCAACAGCACCTAACAACAACTAAAAGAACTCCCTTTCTGAGGAAGATTCAAGGACTTGGCGTGTGAAGGTGTGCATCCAGTAGGTGCTCATTACGTGCATCTTTTTAGTGACTGCATGGTGGATCTATCGCCAGTTCCACAGAGGTGAAGGAGCTTTCAGCGATCCTCCTCTTCCAACAGTGAGCCAACCTCTGCCTGGGCACCTTCCACACCTTCACCCTGCAGACCCTCACTCAGACGAAGCCCTAGTTCTCCCTCCCCTCCTAGGCACCCACTTTACATGGGCTGTGGATAGTGCCAGGCACCTCAGTCCAGCAGTACCTTGTAGACCACCATGCGTCCCTTGAAGATGGACATGAGGTGGGCCGGCTCCTTGCCCATAGGAACCCGGATCTGCACCGGCTCGTCATTGTACTTCTGGTCTAAGATGACGGCTTGATATGCAGAGGCTGCAATTTCATCCTGGCTGGCCTGGCTGCCCTGAGGGGAGAGGGAAAGGGAGAGGAGTCAGCCCCTCACCTGGACTTACCACCAGGTTTAGCCACAACTCCCTCCAGCTCTGACTTCCAATCCAACTCTCCTTCCCCACCCAGCTCCACCCTGGGGACACAGAAATGTGCCTGACTCAGACTTCAGCTCTGACTCCAGCCTTAAGGCTAAATCTTCCCCAGGCTCTGCCCAACCCTGACCCACCTACAGGACACAGCCTTGACCCCCAATCTCTCTGGCTCCTTCCACACCACTCAGCCCCGGTGCCCAGTACCTGACTGAGCCCTCATTCCAGACAAGCAGTCAGAGCAAAGGGATGTGCAGGTGGTGGAAAGGCAATGGGAAGGGACGTGGAGAACCAAGAGGAAGAAGAGTTGTGAACGGGCTACTCAATCTTCATGGGCTCTCACTGCAGCTGCCCCTTGTGGGGCGAGCTCCCCATCACCAGAGACACTCCACTCAAGAGTGACGGCTACTTGCGAGAGTGGAAGGGGCGGAGTGGACCTTGCCTGGGACGGAAGGGACGGACCTGCCAGATGTAGAGCAGATAGTGCTCCTTCTCGCCGATGAGGTAGGTGTAGAGCAGTAGGTAGCAGTCGCCCCCGTAGAAGTGGCCAACCCACTTGGGGTCTACAGGCACCAGCTCCAGGTCCTCAATGCGCCATATCTGGGTCCAGTACCAGGCCAGCGTGAGGTTCAGGACAGGCTCTGCCTCCCCCAACCCTCCCCAACACCGCCTCCCCTCCCAACACATCCATCCTCCCCAACACCTCCACCCTCCCAAC